GAAACATCATCAATATCAACAACAGCAACAACAACAACAATGAAACAACATCAACAACATCAACCACAACAACAACAACATCAACCACAACAACAACAGTATCAACAACAACAATGAAACACCATCATCATCATCTTACTTGATATACTCTATCATATCGATGCCCATATCCACAGCGTATTTAGCATGTTGTTGTAGTTGCTGCTGCTGCGGTGGCTGCTGATGGCCACAGAGGCAGAAATATCTGTCGCCACGAATTTGGATTCTGCTGCAATAATTCTCCTGATTATGATGTCGTTGGTTGTGATTGTGATGATGATGGTGTTGTTGAAGGTTATGATGACGATGATGAGGATGATGATGATAATGATGATGATGAGGGTGATGATGGTGATGATGTTAATAATAATGTTAACCGATCGAAAAATAAATCTTTCACAAAACAATTAAAATAGAACAGTAATAAATCATTCGTTCTTTCAATTAGATTAGAATTTGTCAATAAATCAGCTGAACAATCGATCAATCAATACAAAATTAAAATAGTTCATCGCTCAATCGATTGAACAGCAAGCAAACACCGAACCAACAAAATCATTCGAATACCGACCGATGCCAACTGATCGAACCGACCGAATGTCTCGTTGAGAAATCGTACCATCTCCAGAGCGCTGCATTGGCGAGAGAGTAAGTTCAATCCTATCACGTCTCCGAACAGAATGCTGATAATGATAGTGACGATGAAATGATGATGAAGACGACGACGATGACGATGGAGGGGGTGGTGATGGTGATGATAGAGATGATGGTGGGGATGACGACGACGGTGATGATATTCATCATCATTACCATTATCGTCATCTTCATCACCATCATAACAACCTGACTTTGTCATATTTCTGCATATAAATTTTCTGGAAAAAGTGCCTCAGATGTGGAGTCTGCAAATCCGACTTCAGTTCCGCCACGAGGTTCGCTGGTACCATGTAGAGCAGTAATTTGTCCTGCGTGCGTGTGTGTGTGTATGTGCGTGTGTGTCTGTCTGTGCGTGTGTGTGCGTGTGCGTGCGTGTGTGTGTGTTATTTCTTATTTGCAATTTTATTGGGTGTTTTCTTGCGATGGTTATTTTTAGCATGAATTTTTGCTAGCAGGTTTGTGTTGTAGTTTGGAAAAATTTTCCATGATTTGTTTGTGTGTTTGTATGTTTGAACGTTTGAAAGCATGTTTGCTTTTTTGTATATGCATGTTTGTGTTGTATATATACACACGTATGTTTTATTGTAAATTCATTTGTATGCCTTCTTACAAAATTGTGCAGTTTTATGTGTGGGGGTATATAATTTTCTGTCTACATGTTTGTATGTATGTATGTATGTATTATTATATGTATGTTTGTTTGTACGTTTGTATACTCATTCGCGTAGGTAGTTTTGTTTTGTATATAATACGTCAAATTAAAATATATATATATATACATATAATTACATATATACATGTAGAACCGTGCAAGGATTTATACATGTATACGCGATATTGATAGGTTCAGTGAAATAAAGATAACGAGAAAAAAAAATGAGAAAAACGAAAGAAGAAAAACAACAATAACAATAGTAATAACCATAACAATAATAACAATAACTGTAATAATAACCATAACAATAATAACAATAACTGTAATAATAACCATAACAATAATAACAATAACTGTAATAATAACCATAACAATAATAACAATAACTGTAATAATAACCATAACAATAATAACAATAACTGTAATAATAACCATAACAATAATAACAATAACTGTAATAATAACCATAATAATAATAACAACAACAACAATAACAATAATTACAACCATAAAAGTAAAGCAATGACATTTACTAGGAATTACACCGATGTATAAATTCGAGAGGAAAACCTTGGCATGAATAAAAGTTTCATCAGCCCCATCACAAATATGCGTGATGACGGCGATGTGGTGATGATGATGATGATGATGATGGTGTGGTGGTGATGATTATGATGATGATGATGATGATGTGGTGGTGGTGATGATTATGATGATGATGATGATGATGATGATGAT